AATTGTAAATATGCCTCCTTATCTTCTCGGCTATCCTGTTAAAAAAAAGTTGGGGGACATATGTCCACTGGGCCAAGTGGGGAGAGGAACTGGCTTTGGATCACCTTTGGAATCTGTACCTTAATGAAGACCACCCAGCAGAACTTGAGCAGAGATAGCATCCTCTGGTCACATCTGGAGTACAGGAAAGACCCTATTTGAGGACATAGGGACCCAACTCATTCTCCACAAGACAGGTACCTGCTGTGTTTCCCTTATAGGTCATCTCCACAGGTCCCTTTCCCCCACTGCAGGGTCAACTCATCTACAAAGGAAGGTCTGCTTTGGGGTAGGTAGTGCTAGGCCAAAGGCTGTTAAGTGTACCCTACAGAAGTTTAGGACAATGTAGTTCCCATATGGGATATGGGAGAACTAGGAAAAATAGGTAGGATAGTGGGAAACTGTTACGAGTTGAAGTCATTCCTCCCAAAACATGTACGTCAAAGTCCTAATCCCTAGTGCCCTCAAGACTGTGACCTTATTTGGAAATAGGGTCATAGGATAGGATCTAATTCAATAGGATCAATGTTTCCCCCACTACTACCTCAAACCCGGGGCCTAGTATGCTATGTGGTACTGTACCACTGAAGCATGTCTCCAGCTCTCCAGGTATATTTATATCTCTATGTATGAATTACATCAGCTTGTTTATTTTTTAGTACTAGGAATTGAACCCAGGGACACTTTACCATTAAGCCACATCCCCAACCGTTTTTTATTTTGAGAGAGGGTCTTGATAAGTTGCCCAGGCTGGCCTCAACCTTGTGATCTTCCTGCTTCAGCCTCCTGAGTCACTGGAATTATAAGTGTGCCAAGGTGCCCACATATGGCTGATGTTCTTATGAAAAGAGATCCAGACAAAGACAAGCACACTCGCAGGCCAAGGAAAAAGTTCTGAACAGATCCTTCCCTCACAGCCCTCAAAAGGAACCAACCCTAACTGGGCAGCGTGGCACTTGCCTGTTATCCCAGTGAGGCTGAGGCAGGAATATCGCAAATTCGAAGCCAGTCTCAGCAACTTAGTGAGGCCTTAAGCAACTTAGAGAGCCCCTATCTCAAAATCACAATAAAAATGGCTAGGAATGTGGCTCAGTGATTCAACTGAGCCCCTGCGTTCAATCCTTGGTTTAAAAAAAAAAAAAAAACCAGCCCTGCCAACACCTAGACTTCAGACTCTGCTTCCACAATTGTGAAACAATCAATTTCTATTGTTTAAGCCAGCTTGTTTGTGGCACTTGGTGACAGCAGCCCTAGCAATCTAATACAGAGGCTAAATTCAAACTCTAAGACTTTATTTATTTTTGGTACTAGGGATTGAACACAAGGGAACTTAAACATTGAGCCACATCCTCAGCCCTTTTAAAAAAATATTTTATTAGAGACAGGGTCTTGCTGAGTTGCTAAGTGCCTCGCTAAGTTGCTGAGACTGGCTTTTGAACTCGTGATCCTCCTGCCTCAGCCTGCAGAGCCGCTGGGATTATAGGAGTGCACCACCTCGGCCGGGCTCTAAGACTTTTCAAAACATGGGGAAACAAGTAAAGGAGAAGGCCTGCAAGAAACCAGATGGCTCTCTCAGTCCCCCAACCTGATGCAGATGCTCTCTCCTGTGCCACACTGTGTTTGTGTGATGCCATCAAAGCACTTGTTATACAGAACCATGACTGTGGATTTATGCATCTTTACACTTGATCTTAGCCAAAAGGCCGAGAAGCGATTTTATGCATCTTTAGATATAATCATATCTTTGAGTGGAAGCATGCTTTATTTGATGTTGTATTCCCATCAGCTAGGTTCTGCCCAGCTCAGAGTGAGCCCTCAACAATTTTTTGTGGGAAGATGAGGGTGGGTGGTTCGAGGGTCGGTGCGGGGGGGCGGTAAGGAAGCAAGCAAGCAAACCAGCTAGCCTAGGAAAAGGCCCAGGAGCTGTTTGTCACAAATATCCTGACTCACCAAGCCCATCACAAATCACCTTGGGGCTACTTGCTATGGTTTCTCCTAGAGAAGTAGTATGCAAGGCAAATTCTTCTCTCTACATTTCTGTCTTGGCCATAGATCATAGAGTTTCCATTCCCCTCCAAAAACTAAAGAGAACATTTCTGGTTTCTTCCTAATCTTTCCTGGTCCTCCCCCAAGGGAGGTTAACAGCTAATCCTGTTAATCTGGTTGGTGCGAGTCTGGCATCTATTTAGGTCACATTGCCAGCAGATAGCTTACTCAAGAGAAGAAAACTGTCATATTCAACTGTCATATTCTCTCTCCCTCTCTCCCCCTCCCCCCTCACACCCTCTCATTCTTCTGGCTCATCCCAGCAGTTCCGTTTGGATTTGCAGTTATTAAGCTGCATTCCCCCAGCCAGGTTTCCCTGGGGTGGGGATGGTGAGAGAACACAGCCTGCACGGGGCAATGCAGCTTCTCTGCCTACAACTAGAGGAGAGGTGGTGGGAAGCAGGTGTCAGCCTCAGGCCTAGGTGGAGGCCTTTGGGAAACAAATCTGAAACACTGACTCCTATCACAGCATGAAGCACCAGGACAGCAGGAACTCTGTCTTGTTTGCTGCTGTACCTCTGCACTGAAGCCAGCATATGTTCACTGAATGTCTGTTGAATAAATGAATTCCTGTTTGGCCCAATTCTTTTTGTCTAGACTATTGCTGAACTCAGGAAGAGACAAGGAGCAATTGGTAAACCTAACGAAAATCGTGATATCAAATGCATATGCAGCAACTGAGTTGGATTTCAGAGGGGAAGCTGCCATGCTCCTTGTATTCTCTGCAGCATTTCTTTATCCATGCAGTAAGCATTTAAACTGCCACGGAGGAATAGTCAAGGCACTATAAATAACTTCATAATAAATTTAAACAGCTGCTGCCAGCTGCTCTGTACTTATCACTTAACATTGCTCTTGATGGTTGCAATGCACAGGCCCCCCTCATTAATCAAAAATGAGATTGTTTGAGGCTGAGCTGAGAAGTCCTTACTTGTTCTCTGATTGCAGGTGGAGTCATCCCCAGGGATTCCGTTGGCGTTCCATGCATAGGCTTTTATGGTGTAGAGAGTCCCGGCATCTAGACTGCTGAAGGTCAAGGAGGTATTTGTAGTATTCTCCTTCCAAATTCTACCTAAGCCATTGGCTTGCATAATGGACACAGAGAATCCGATTGCCATATATACAGCTTCCCACTGCACAAGGATAGAGTCTGGACTTGGCGAGCTTACTTCCAGAATTGGTGCAGCCAACACTAAGGAGACAAAAGCAAAATGAAAAACTGCATTTGTGTTTAAAAGTCCAATAGAGGATAATTCAAGTTATTTAGGAATAAGTAAGTTCGGGTTGATTATCTATTGAGATTGATTTTCATCTTATAATTATTTGATTTATAAAGTTATTAATTATAGAGTTCCCTTAAATAATCATTATTTAAGTGTGTATTAATCATAAATGATGTGGCAGAGACAAAGGGAAACTTTAAATATTAGACACTACTTTCAGTGGGAAGTTAGCCAGAAATCAGACAAAATATTCCTATAATCATAATATAAATCAATTATAAAAATGATGTTTATACCATTTCAATGTGCACACAACTTTTTAGAAATATGCCTAGGAACAACTTTATCAAATCAGTGTAAATAATGCTGATGGTAAACTTCAAATGTTTTTGTTAACAGGTATACCATGTGGTTAAAATGTGGAAAAACCCTTCTACGTATTCTTTTTTTTTTAATTGGTGCACTATAGTTGTGCAAATTTAATTGGTGTACGGTTATGATGGAACTTGTTACATTTTCATGCATGCATACTAAACAACAATATAAAGTGGCCACTCACTTCCTGGCACTTCCACCCACCTTTCCCTCCTCCAGTCCCCCAATCCCTTTCCTCTACTGATCTCTCTTTGCCTTGTATGTATCCTTTATTCAGTACGGTTAAAAATAGAACTTCTTTTCAGATATGTAAAAGCAGGAATACATTTAAAGATGTCCAGAAGGGCTTTATGTTCAAAGCAAAAACATGAGGCATTTAAATACCACCTCCTCCACAGATACCTGAGTTGCCAGAAAATATCATTTGGTGATTTTTCACTTCTGGGCCCTGAATTGTGGCACCCATGTGACACCAAACTGCCTTGTGCATTTGCAGCATCATTATAATTGATCCAGGTCACAGGTCACAGAGGGTGAGCATCAGCTACCTGTCTTTGCCTGCTTTGGAGGTGATGCCTGGCTTCTGCCAGCAGCACTGATGGATCTGATGGTGATTTGGTACAAGGTCGCAGCCTTCAGGCCTGTTACAGTGCCTGGGGAATTGGCCACCATGGTTTCAATGACTGTGTCCCCATCTTCAGCTGTGAGCAGGTAACTGGTGGCCCCTGGCACTGTGGCCCATTCCACAGTGATACTGTTGCTGATTTTTGAATATGCTTGATCAATAGTGGGTATTTGGGGAGCTGAAAGAGATTTTTAAGTTGTCCATTAGCCAGGATATCTGGAAGGGTTACTTCTTTCATCATTTTCCTCTTCTTATGCCATCCTTTATACATAAGCTTTGCCCTCATTTTCCAGATCATGATAAGACAGAGGGAAAGAAAGCTACAGTTGTTCGCCAGAAGAGAGCAGAAGCTCAAACCTCTCACTCGGGGACGGAATTTCAGAGTCCCCCCACCCCCGCCCCCAGTTGTACTTATTTTTTATTTTATTTTTTGTACTGAGGATTGAACCTGGGAGCACTGCACCACTGAGATACAGCCCCAATCCTTTTTATTTTTATTATTTTTTTTAATTTTGAGACATATCTCTCTCTACATTGCTTAGGGCCTAGCTAAATTGATAAGGCTGGCCTCAAACTTGCAGTCCTCTGGCTTCAGCCTCCAGAGTCACTGGGATTACAGACTTGTACCACTTGCCCTTTTAAATAAGCGTGGGAAGGGATTGTGGGTAGAGCTCTGAAAGGAGACTTTCCCAGGATGCTTGGCCATGGGTGTTCCTTCCCAGTCCTGAAACTGGCTCCACTGCTTCCAGCTGGAACCACCTCCGTCTCAGCTCTCTGGTGGCTGTCGTCACTTACGCACTCTGCCCACGTCCCCACTGGCATTCATTCTCAAGGAGGAAAGAGGGAGTATTGAGTCCTTTGTGATGATTACTTCATAGTATGTTCCTAACACAGGAGTATAACCATTTTCAGATTCTTTTACATAAAATGAAAAACTTTATTCTCCTTTTCTCTATCAAGACATTTGTCTTGGGCTGGGGTAGTGGCTGCATGGTACAGCACTTGCCTAGCATGTGGGAGGCACTGGGTTCAATCTTCAGCACCATAAATTAATTAATTAATTAAAAAACAACATCTGTCTCAGCATAAAAATGTGACGCTGTGGTCCCTTCTTCTGTGGGCCTGGCTATGGTTTGCCATGGGGATGTAAATGCTTGCATCCTGAGCTTACACAAGGCATTCCTATATTTTGGGTATGGGATAGGAGACATGGAACAGTAACCATACTTACCCCTTTACCAAATCCACAGACACAAAAAACATTTGGGATGTAGGAGATCCAAGTGGAAATAAGGTCATAAATAAGAACATGAACTGGATTTTAATTAACTAATTAATTGTAGTATTGAGGGTTGAACCCAGGGGCACTCTACCACTGAGTGCCCAGTCCCCCTTCCTCCTCCTCCTCCTCCTGCTTCTCCTCTTCTTCCTTTTCCTCCTCCTTCTCTTCCTCCTCCTCTTCCTCCTCCTCCTCTTCATCCGTCTCCTTCTCCTCCTCCTCCTCGTCCTCGTCCTCCTCCTCCTTTTTCTTTTTGAGACAGTCTCACTAAGTGGTCCAGGCTAGACTCTAACTTGCCTCAGCCTCACCTGTTGCTGGGATTACAGGTGTATGCCATTTTACCTGGCCATAGCTGGGTTTTCCATCTGAAGCCAACTCTTGGCTTTTTATGTTTAATATACTCCATTTGATATACAACGTCACAATATGTCAAATTCAAAACCAAATGGCAAAATAAACAAGCAAAACTAAAAGGCAAGGAAAAAGAATAAATACAGACAAGTGATAGCCGGTATCAACTCTTCCCCTTTCCCTCTAGCCAAATCTCTATGTGCATGATACAGACAACCTTTCTTTCTTTACCAATGACCCAGAGTCGGTTTTGGCAGCACCTCAGAAATAACCATGTTGAAAACGAACAAAGTCTCCACTGTGCACTAGCCAGACATTCCTGGGACATCACCCAGGGCTGTCTCTTCTGCCTTTGAAAGAAAATCATGACAGTTAAATATGCTGGCAGAAGATGGAGACCTCGTAGCCATTTGCCAGTAGAAGCTGATTCTGTAGGAAGGACCTCTGTCCCCTCCCACTCCTGAAAAGTAAGAAGCCCCATTAGGGGGTCCCCCTTTCACTCAATCCCCCACCCATCCCACTTCTCCTCCTCCAGTCATTTTTCCTGTGGTCTCTGCCTCCTTTTCTCTGATTTTCTGGTGTCTCTCAATTCTTGTTGCCCCTGTCCCCACAGTTTATCTTCCCTCTTATGGCAGCCAGTCCTGCCCATTGGAATGGACTCATTTTCCTGGGAAAATGATGATCAAACCAGCCGCAGACCTAGGAGGCCTGATAGTGAATTCATAGAGTGGATATAAAAGGCTAGCATGTCAGAGACTACTGTGGGATCTGAGGTCTCTACACAACTCGCCCTGTTAAATTAAGAACTGGGTGCGGTGGCGCACACCTGTGATCCAAGTGATTTAGGAGGTTGAGGTAGGAGGATCACAAGTATGAGGTCAGCCTCTGCAACAGAGCAAGACCCTCAGCAATTTAGGGAGATTTTGTCTCAAAATAAAAATAATAATAATAATAATAATAAAAAGATTAGGGATGTTGTGATGCATTTGGAAAAGCCAGACCACGACACTGACACACAGTGAGGGTGCCACAGACACTGAGATTCTAGGGAGTCTGGGACAAGCAAAGGCTGGATATTGGTTGCCTGTTTTATAGTTGGTGCTCAACAGGCTCTGAACAGCACTGTCCATGAAAGCAGATCAAAAATGCCATCTACAATGAAAAAAAAAATTTAAACAATCTGAGGGGAGAACTCAAGCATGTCAGTGGCTGGTTCCCCTGACACAAGGAGCAAGTGGAGGCACCACCCGCTGTGGAGGGAATGAGTCTGAGTGCCCAGTCCTGGTGTGGCAAGTCCTGGTGAGGTGCGACCAGCCT